GTGATCAACCGTGCAGCAGGACGATATACAATTCAAATGCTGGGTATTGCGAAGTGGAGGACACTCAGAGCGGGGAACGTTTCCAGGTCATGCGACGACATTGCACTAGTCTCTTCCAGGCTGCTCATTTTCGGTGCCAAGACGCGTTAGGTTTTGTGGATTTCAGAGTGAAAGCACGCAAGGCCGTCGAGAAAGCGTTTATACCAGAGTTTGTGCTGCCAAACGTGGCGAAAGGATCGCAAAATTCACCGAAGGATGGAATCATCATTGTGGTCTACCCTAAGCTTGTTGCGAGTGCCTATGCACTGGTTCGTACGCTCCGTGAAGTGTTAAACTGCCAGTTACCCATTGAGCTCTGGTATTGCCCACAGGAATTGTACAGCTTCCCTGGACCCCTCACTCCGTTGAAGCGCCTGGTGGACTCGGACGCCACTATCACTTTCCACAAGATCGACGACACTCGTGCCATGGGCTTTGGTGCCAAAGTTTTTTCAATCTACAACAGTTTTTTAGACCGGGTATTATTTCTTGATGCAGACAATTTTCCAGTTCGAGATCCAAGCTCTCTTTTTCAAACGCCTGAATTTGAGAGTACTGGAGCCATATTCTGGCCGGATTACTGGCATCCTAAGCGTACAATCTTTAATATTCATGCGAAATCGATGCTCTGGGAACTGTTGGATGTCCCCTTCGTCGACATGTTCGAGCAGGAGAGTGGACAACTACTTCTTGACCGACGGAGACATGCAGTACCGATGAAGTTGGCATTTTTCTACATGTTTCACCGACCCAATTACTTCACTAAACTCAAGGTAGCGCACGGCGACAAGGATCTCTTTCGGTTCGCATGGCTTAAATTGAATGCCTCCTTCCACATGGTGCAGTCACCTCCTGCAGTAGCAGGAAAAGTGATTAACGGCACATTCTGCGGCATGACAATGGTACAATTCGATCTTGGAGGCAATGTGCTCTTCCTCCATCGAAATCAGTTCAAACTCACGGGAAAACTCGCAGGACTCAAGAAGAGAGAAGCTCCAGAAGCCGATGGACTACCAGATCCGGTCATCTGGACGCACCTGCTCTCCTTCGATAACACCTATGATACCAATCACTACATCATCGACACGTACAGGGGCCAACCAGCCTTCCCGAAATCTCAGAGCTGTTTTGGTAAACGTAAACTGGAGAAGGACCCGCATTTTACTTCACAAAACTTTAGCACCTTGAGCTTTGCTGGTTTGGAAAACACAGTTCGCCAATTCGCTGTAGATGCTGTCAATTTGCTTCCACCTAGACACAATGCAGATACAATGCGGCAAAGACTTGCTGGATAATTTGTTTATTGGTAAATAGAGTGTAGATAAATCCTTCTTGGACTACAATAGAGTACATAAACATTTTCACATTTACTAGCTATCGACAAATATACTAAAGCTGACTTGCATCGTGAGCATAGTCCAGTAGTGTATCCTCGAGATTGTGCCACGGGAGAGATTCCCATGGTGTCAGGCGAAAGTGCGTCGAGTTCATATAGCGGTCTCCGTAGCACATTCGTGTTTTCACAAACTCTTTTCCTCCCTTGAAGATATTCACCTTATAGTGCTTCTTTACAAACTCATAACGCTTCACAGGGTCAGCACTCACAGACATTATTTCATCTGGGAAGATAAAAGTTTGCAGATGCCCCCACGTGTGATCCCTCGTAAAATCCTCTTCACCTGATAGTTTCTTGCCGTTGCGATGAAGAAAAATCACTTCGCCCCTCGTATCATGCTGCACCATCGTCATGCCACAATATTGGTTTGCTCTCACCATACCCGCTGCAGCCGGAGGCGTAGCGATCATGTGGAAGGGAGTATTCGTTTTAAGCCACGCCAAACGAAAGAGGTCCTTATCGCCGTACGACAGTCGTAGTCGTTCGAAGTGACGCGGTTCGCGCATTGCTAGGAATTGCGCCACGTGCAGCGCAACTGCAGCGCGTTTACGGTCAATCAAAAGTTGTCCGCTCTCCTGCTCGAACATGTCGACAAACGGCGTTCCAGCGAGCTCCCAGATAAGCGACTGAGCCTTCAAATTGAAGATCGTGTTAGCCGGTGTCCAGAAGTCCGGCCAAAATATCGATCCTGTCTTCAAAAACTCCGGCGTATCAAACAAATACGTCGGATCCTTCACTGGTGAATTGTCGGCGTCTAAAAAGAGTATTTGATCCAACTCGGAATGTGCCAAAGCATACACTTTAGACGTGAATCCCACCACCAAATCGTCCGTGATGCCTTTCAGTGTAACGGGACCGTAGTCTTTCACTAGGGACTGCAGCACACGAGAATAATCCAAAGGTGCAGCTCCCATTTCGCTCTCCAAGAACCACATCTCCACTGGGAGTTTGCACCAGTAACCTCGCAATAACCTGACGATCGCGTGGACGCTGTGCAGCAACTTCGGGTACACAACCATCACAATTCCTCTGGTGGGCTCTGCACTGTGAAGTGACGTAACGGTCCCGTTGCTCCGCACGCTTCCTCTTAACTGCATTTCGCCTTTTTCGTTCTTCTGCTGTAACTCTCTCTTTTTGGTTGCAATAATCGCATTCACCTGTGGCGCCACGCGGGCAAAGTCAACAGCCTGACTGCACTTGAACGTCGTTCTGTTCCTCAATGAGTTGCAGCTCATTCTCATGGCCTGAATCTCCTCACCGGTGGCTTCATCTCGAAGTAAACAGTAGCCTGATGCACCAGCTTGCACAGTTCCTCCACAGTTCAGGTCTTTTTCCGATTCTCTCGGTCCATCGGGCGAGCAGTTGCCGGTATGTCTCCAGCCCACACACTTGTAGTCTGGGATACAGTGCTTCTTG